GACTTTAGGGACTTGCCGGGTGAGTCGATTGGTCCTTGTCAGGACCAAAGGGGCCAAAAGGCCCCCAGCCAAACGCCACTGATTTTCTTCTGAAGCAAAAAAGCAAGATCACAATTATCCTGGATTCTTCCAATCTTCCCTCTAAAGTTTCAGAGGCTCTGCTTTAAGTCTGAAGAAGCTTGCTTCCTGGCAGAAGACATGATTCCGTTCTCCATGGCCAGAGGGAAACCTGCCTCCTAACATCTTGTCAGGATGGGAGACCTGGTGGGACCTTACGCCCCAGGTCCACCCAAGCATCGGTTTCCCAGCCACAAACTCGGAGCTCTCTGCAACCTGAACGGAAGTGACAGATGGAGACTGAGGATCGCCTGAGCGAAACGAAGATGGGTGCTGGCTCTGTGTGTCTGACAGGACTGGAATCCTCCCTGTGGACCATCAGGGGAGAGCCCGCGGCCGACTGCCCAGAGCTGGCAAAGCCTGACGCTTCCACCAGCTATACGCTGCCCACGGGGTCTCTCAACCTTTGGACCAAACTGCTGGGCCTCCCCACCCCGACCCCACAAGGCCCACACAGCCAGGACGGTGACAGCTGAGACCCTGCCTTCTCCTGGGTCCGGCACTCCTCACGGGGGCAGGAGCATAGGTGGGCCAGCGTGCGCCCAGCCAGAGGAGCACCGTGGGTTCTGTGCCCCCCAGGCATTGGTTACAGGGGTTCACGGACTGGCAACCTGCACCCAGCTGCCCTGCTTGGTGACCAGTCAGAAAGGAGGGCCCAGGGCTATTGTCAGGCCAAGCCCCAGGCCAGGGCCGTTTCTTCTCTGCTCAGGGCGCTCTCCTGTCCTTTCACCCCCCACTTCAAGCTCAGCCGCCCGGAAAGCCTGTCCGGTTTCCTCCACCTGGAGCCAGCCCTTGGGTATCACTTGCATTTATTTGCAGGGACTATGTCCTGTTTCCTGTGCAAGCCCACGGGGCTGACGCGGGGGCCGTTCTCTGACCTCACCCTTCCGAGCAAGGACGCAGGACATGGGGTGTCAGGGCGGCCAGGAGCTGGTCTGGGCAGCTGTCTGGTGCTGATGAGACACACCTGAGGCCCAGCGCTCACCTGCGCAGCGATGGAGGCCCCGCCTCCAGGGTCCTGCTGCCTTCTTTTCTGCCTCTTATCTCTGTCCCCCCCCCCAGATGCCACTCCAGTGGACGGCAGCTTATGAAGGGGGCTCATCCCAGGGGACACCCCAGACACAGGCGTTTGCCACCAGCTCCTGCTGCAGTTTAAACACAGGGAGTGTCTCCAGGCTCTGCAAGGGTGTCTGTGAAAACATGCCTAGCGTTGCTGCTGCTTTGGGGGGGGGGGGGCGCTGGGAGCGGCTCCTCCCTGCTCGCTAGCGGCTGTGCCTCTTCTCTCTCAGGCACATCCTGTCCCTCGGCAAGTAGGATCGCTGTCTCTTCTTGTTGGGCGAGAGCCTGAGGCCCCGCGGGACCCTCCTATCTCCCAGGCTGGGTGGGAGTGATTCACCAGCTGGCACGGGGACACCGGGTTGGCAGACACATCAATCGCTCGCTCCCGGAGCAGGAGCCAGGCCCGCTGGGGCGAGGGAAGGAGGCTGTGTCCACTCTCCACCCCTCCCCTGGACTCTACAAGAACAGACAGAGCCCAGCAGGCAGCCGGCGGGCCTGTCTGGAAGGCGGCTGGGACACGGGCGCTAGGGAGGTCGGCCTGGGCGCGAAGGCGGGTAGTTTCTAAGCCTCCTCCTGCAAAGCTGCAGGAGATGAGGTCCTCAGTCTCCCTGTCCTGTCGCAAGGGTTAATTAGCTGCTGCTTTCCTGGGGCCCGAAGCGGAGGTCTCAGCCTGACGGGATGGGCCCCCCATGCCCCTGGGAGTCCTGGGCTACCGGTCCCTGCAGCGGCTCAGAGCCAGTTCTCAAGCCACACAGAACCATGAAAAGATGTGTTTCTTGGTTTGTAAATAGGAAAACCCTTCAGAGCTGAGGCTGACAGGAGACTGCAGTCTTAATCCAGGAACAGTCCCTGGAAATCAAAACTGTCCACCTGCCTCAGCCTCCCTGAGAACAAGCCTGTATGATGGAAGCCGTTTCCAGCTTTGGAACAGCTGGGCCGTGCCTCCCGCTGCTTCCGGCTCTCTGTTCCCCTCGCCCTGGTCTCCGCTGGCCCAGAGGAAGGCCTTTAAGGGGCCCACGTGAGGATCCTTAATGGGTGAAACAGCCTCCATTTCTCACCAGAAACGGCTGCAGCTGGAAGTCACTCAGCTGAAGTCCTTCACCTGGGAGAGGAGCGTGTAAAGCGGGTGCAGCGGTACCCTAATCTAGGGTTGCCAGATGTAGCAAATAAAAATATAGCATACCCAATTAAATCTGAATTTCAGAAAAACAACAAATAAGTTCCTAGTATAAGTATGTCCCCAATATTGTATTTTATCTGGCAACTCTGCTCTGACTCCTACTAGAGCTTGTAGCTGAATGAATCCAGCCTGAGTCTAGGAAGGAAAAAAAAAAAAAGGCCAATCCCCTGGCCCTGATATGACACTGAGGACAACGCAATTGAAAAGGGTACAGAGGTCTAGAAAGGTTTTGGACAACGGCGGTGCTCTGGCAGCTACGCCTGCTTTCCATCTGTCTGTTGACCTCTGTGCTTCTCCCAGCTGGACGGCAAGTTTGGGGAGGGCAAAGGCAGTGTCTTCATCTGCGTCCGCCCAGCTCTGGCTGGGGGCCCGAGTGCTTTCGTGGTACTGTCGGCAGGAAACAGCCCTGGAACCTGCTGGGAGGCCTGTGCAGACGAGTGTGCCCTGAACCAAGCTGGTTTTCAGCAGGCGGGAGGCACCAGCTCTGTGTGTGTGGTGCCACGCCCGGAAACCCACACGCAGGGGCATCTCACCGCCACTGCCCGTTACCTTCCCTCCTCTCCTTGCCCCGGGCCCATGGCCCCCTTTGGTTTGCCCAGTCCTCAGCTGATTGTGGGCCTGTGTCAGTGGCTCCACTCCCTGCTACCTCGCCCTCCATCTGCCAAAGCCGCTGTGTGTGCGCTCAGCTCCCAGCTGTCCCCAGAGCCTCTCCTGAGCTGGGAAGACACAGGACCTGCCTCAGCAGCTGCCCCGACACGACCAGAGTCATTTTTGAGGTCCCGTCAGCCAAGGGGGAGTGGGGAGTGTGGGCCTTCGGGTGCGGGAAAGGGAAGGGGTTTTCACTGGGTGGGGGGCAGTGGGCAGCATTAAGAGCTGGTGAGATTGAGTCAATCAACTGGAAGAAACACCCACCGCGGGGCCAGAGGGGATGTTTACCGTTCCTGGTTACCAGCTTTCATAACTTGGTTACCAAGCTGGTAACACTTCAGAGTTCATGCAACATAGTGTTGGCCTGTGGCGAAGTGCACACACAGGCATCACCTTTCCCATTTCACAGGTGAGAAAACTGAGGCCCAGAGGAGCTAGGAGGTTTATCTGGAGTCACAGAGCCAGGACCAAACCTCCTTGTACCATCTGCATTGTCACCATGATTGTCCGTCCCGACGGGGGGGGTCGCATCCAGCGACCTGCCCGCCTCGGGTCTCACCCCGCGTGACCAAGTTGTTTTCTCTGGTCCTGCCTGGTCATCACTCTTCATGTCAAAGCCCTTCATTCACACCTATGCCTGATCTGCCAGCCTATCGGGCTTGGTCAGCCATATTTCTATTGCACCAAGGGTATCAATTCATATCAAGAATCAGGAGAAAACAAAGGGAAGTAAATTTGCGGCAGACTCTTCCCTTCAATCCTAACCTATAAGATGCATGAAAGACAAGGCCCCCAATATTAGCCTCAACAAGTACCTCGGAGGGGAGGCATTGAGCCGACGACCAAAGGAACACCTGCCTCATAAACCACCCGCCCTCTCCCTTGCCCAGGACTCCCACCATCAGGGCGACACCTGTGAGCGGTGTGAACTCAGGGCAAATGCTGCCGCGACCCTGGAGCCCCACGGGGACGGCGCCCCAGCCTCCCACGGAAAAGCAGCCCCACCCCCACCCCCACCCACGCAACACCGCTAGGGTCTCTCGAGTTGCCAAGAACAAAACAGGCTAATGTTGAAATCAGCAATCATAAACGAAAACTGTGGAATTGGAGGTCTGGGCGAACCCCCAGCGGTCACCAAGCCCACTAGCCCTGGTTTTAGGGAGCGAGGCAAGTCCTGCACTGACCTATACGAACTGAACCAGTGTGTCTCGAGTCAGGACTCGATAACTATTTGTTCGATAAAGGGCGGGTTGACGTCACAGGAAGACAAGGACAGGGTCAGGATGAAAGGATCTAGAATCAGTTTACCATGTTAAGTGAAAAACATCTTAAGACTGATTGCAATCTGTTTCTTTCATGAACATTATTTCATTGAATTCTGATAACGACCCCACGAGGGCACTGTGTTCCATCTGCTGACACGTGAGGAAACTGAGGCCCAGCAGTGCAGGGTCTGCCCTACGTGCCACGGTCATTTCAGCAGCAGAGCTGGACTCTGAACCAACTTACGGTCCCTCACTGCTCCCACCAGCCAAGCTCCCTGCAGTGACTCAGGGGGCCGCCTAGAGCCCCCTCCTTGGTCGTCAGCACATACTGACGAGAGAGCGCCCTTTGGGATCTTTCTAGAAACATCTACAGGAATCCACAAATGGGCCTCAGGAATTCAAACTTCTCTCACATCTGTGATCAAAACAGACATTGCGAAAGAAACGGACTTCAAAAAAATATGCTCTTTATAAAATAAGAATGACTGTCAGCCGTCACTGAAAAGAATCATTCATTTAAAAAAGTGCTCTTTGTGCTTTTTCTAAAGTGTTCTCATTTGAGACAGTCAGAAATATCCAATCAGCTGTGTTAAGAGCCAGCGATGACACACTGGCCAAGCAAAGGGACCTGGTCAGCGTCGGGGGCTCATCTCAGGCCCTCCCCTCCCCGCACTGCGGCTCTGGCCGCCAGTGGACCCCCACCACCCCCACGCGCGCCCCAGGTCTCTTACCGGATAGCCCCACGAGCCACTCCCGGCCTGGGACTTGGAGTAGTAGCTGCTCTTGGTGCTGGTCCCGTAGCTGTTGTAAGTGTCGGTCAAGCCATCGTACATGGAACCTGAGAGCAGAGGCGGGGGTTAGGACAGTGCTGGCTGGGTTCCTCACCCACCCGCCTCGCCAGGCATCACGCTGCAACCAGGTCCTCCACGCCCCATGGGGGGGGGGTGACAGGCCTGAGCTGGGGAGAGGACGGTGGCAGTCAGCCTCCCGTTACTGCACCTCCTCCAGGACCCCCCAGGCAGCTGTAAGGGCAGCTTGGAGAGTCTCCTCCGACCCCCTGCTGGGGACCTGGAGGGCCTTGAAGCACCCACGGTCCATTCCAGGGACTGACGACCCGCGTGCCACAGGGAGACTCCGCACTCGGGGAAGACAGGCGGGGCCTCGACATGCCAGCTCCGGTCAGGGCCACAGAGCAGTGACGGCGGGGCTAGTTCCAAACCTCCGCCCGGCCCCACGCGTGACCAGGTGACCTTCTGCCCCTTCCTGCACCCCCAGATGGTGAAGGGGAGTGGCCATCAGCCTCAAAGGCCCCCGTGAGGGTTAATTAATGTTTTCCGAGTGCCGGAGACCCACAGACAACAGGCTCCGTGGGGTGACAGTGTCACTAGGGTCATTAGCGGCACAGGGGCCTTGAATCACAGAAAGCAGGACTGGATTTGGGCTCCTGGAGGGGCCGCCCCCTCTCCCCTTTGCCAGGTGGCAGAGGGGGTCCTGAAGGACAGTCCCTACTGTCCTTGAAACATGGCTGACAGCAAGAGGCCACGATCTTGCTCCCACCAGTCCCCTTGCCAAGCCTGCCTTCCCTCCTAGGCCACAACCATCGAATCTTCCCCCATCTTTCACAGCCAAGCTCCAGACCTTGTCCCTTCAGGAAGCCTTCACTGACCGAGGCAGCCTTTGCCGCCTCCAAACACATACTCTCTGCTGTCTGCACCCACATTGGCTGCTGCACGGGGGGTGGCCATTGTGGGGACCCCAGAGCCAAGCTTCCCCGCACGCTTGTTAAACGATGGTCTCTGTGGGATCTGTGAGCGCCTCCTGGGGCGATGAGCCCCCCTTCTCCCTAAAGTGATGGTCCGACTCCAGCGTCCAAGGCCGTCGAGGGTGAAGGGTTTGCCCCTGGGCTCACCTGGGACATCAGCCCTTCTGCCATGCACCAAGCCTTTGGGTGGGTGGCGGGGGGGACTGGACTCTCTGAGCTCGGAGTAGGAGGGGCAGCCTTGGAACGTGGCAGGTGGCCCTGCCTGGTGCCACCTGCTCTGTGCATTGTCACACAGCTCACAGGGCAGGGCGCTGCCCCTGACTCCTCACCCCCCAGTCACGGAGGACCAACTGGCCACGAGGGCCATCGGCTGTGGCCTTGGGAGCTTAGAGGTGTTGAAATGGGCATTTGGGCAAGTCATGTGCTCTCCCTGGCCTCAGCTTCCTCTTCCATAAAAAGAAGGGGTTGGAGGGCCGGCCGAGTGGCTCAGTTGGCTAAGAACTCGCTCAAGAGTGTGAGCTTTGAGCAACAGCGGTTCGATTCCCGGCCTGAGCTGAGCTGCCGCTGAGCTGCCCACAGGTGGCAGGATGGCTCAGCTAAAAAGAAAAAAAAGAAGGGGTTCGCCTCTATATATACACCCAAAGCTCCAGCGCCAGCGTCCTCTGGTTGAGTGATTACAGTGACACGTGCACGATGGCTTTTGGAGGAGCCCTTCCCTAGAGATCAGGTTCATCACAAGGAAGAAGGACAGACGTCAAAGGCTACAGCCCCATCCCCTTGGCCGCCTGCCTCAGGGTCGTCCAGGCCTGACTGCCCAGGGGACTTCCATCGGAGCCTCTGTCTCACTCCCAGCTCCCTGCTGAGCGCAGGCAGCTCAGGCCACCCTTTCTCCAGAAACGGAGCCTCTGGAGAGGCTGCCTTCATCAGGAGGGAACCGGAGTCGATCTCATGGGCTCAGACCCCCAATGGAGGGGCGGCAGCGGACACACGCACCGGCAGCCCCCAGGCGGCCTCCGGCCAGCCCACCTCTCCTGCTCCTTCCAGGGCGTGGCAGGCCCCAGTTTGATTGGCTCTCGCCCCACGAGTGACAATTTCTTGCCAAAGGGCAGGCGTGGGTCAGCCAGCTGCTTTTGAATGGAAAACCTGGAGTGGTGACAGACAAGAGTCCTAGGGAGCCCCAGGAAGCCTCCCGCGAGGAGAGGCAGGCTCAGAGGGGACCTGTCAGCGGTGATGCCACTCGCCCCTCGGTCACCAGCTGGAGCACCTCCTCCCCTCCACACCCCAAACCCGCTGCCTCGGCTCACTCTCCTCCGTGTGACCGTGGGGAGCTCTCTGCCGTGGAGGCGGGGGAGGGCGGGGCAGCGAGGCCACCCGGGAACACCTTCTAATTCCCAAAGCCGGTCCCTCTGTCCCGGTGGTGACTCTGGCGATGACAGGGGTGGGCTCGTAGCTCGCTTCTGGTTGGGCCAAGGCCTCTGGGTCCTTCCCGGAAGCTCCTAACGGTACCTCCTAAGGCCCATCTGGAATCCAGGGTCAGGCCGCCTGACTCGCACCTTAAGCCGCTTCGCCCGGCTTCCTCATGAGAGCGAGGCGGCTGCCATCACACCAGCCAGCACTGCTGCTCTGGCAGGAGGTGGCCGTGCTGGGGCCCCAGGTCGCGAGGGAGGGTGGGTGTTCAGGGACGTGACACCCCGGAAGTCCCACCCTGCCGTGGGCCAGTGGGAGGTGAGCTCTGTTTGGAAGAGAGCTGCTCCCACAAAGGAGGCCCTTTTCCCCTCTCCTGACCCCGAGGTGTCTGGCTGGAAAGGACTCCCCTCTGAAAGGCAAGTTCCACAGGCAGGGTACATGGCTTCTCGGGGAGCAACGGGGCTAGGTGTGGCGGCTTCCACTTCTCCACCTGGTCCCCAGCTTCTCTAGAGCTCACTTCTAGGAGGCTTTCCCAATCAACAACCCCTGATCGCCTCGCCCCCAGCCAGCTGTCTCCTCAGTACAGGGCACGTCGGTGTGGTCCCTCCTGCCCGCCCCTCGTGGTGAAGCTGCCCTGGTGCCTGGGTGCCCCACACCCCCACAACTGCAGCGTGAGGCCAGGGTCCTTGAACTCAGCCAGACCCTCCTCCCACCCAGAGGCCCCTGGTGGGTCTGGTCCGCCAGGAACCAAGGAGCTGAGTGTCTAGAACACCCAACGCCATTTCCCTGAGGGGGATTCTTGGTCTAGGCGTGGTCCGGGGAGGTGACCCCAGCACGTAGCTCACCCATCTCTTCCAGGTGAGCATCTGTGCCCCATGTCTCCAGGAGGGCGCACATGCCACGGGGGGGTGGCAGTTCTCAGGGAAGCTGGCTGCCACCCTACCTGTACATTGATCTGTGCATCTGCCCCCCCACCCCCCAGAACCCCAAGGTCAAGGAGAAAATATCTCAGGGGCTGTAATGTTTTCCTCATATGCCAGTGACACCAGCTGCTCCGCGCACACTGCTTGTCGCATGCTGCCACTGCTTCAGGACTCTGCCCCTCAGATGACCCCATCCCTGGACACTCTGGGTGCTTTAGCCGCTGGCCTGAGCCTCCCTGCGTCCTAGGGGCAGCCCGAGCTTTCTCTACTACCGAAGTTTTGCAAATGGAGGCGGCTCCTTTGTTAGGGCTCCTGTGGGGACAGGCAGACCTTCGCAGGGTGACTCATCTCCGTCACCGCTAAGCTTGCATAGGTCACACCCACCACACCTGAAACATCTCCCTTCTTCTCAGCCAAACCCTTTCCCTGCATTCAAAACCGTGCACAGAAACCAGCCTCTCCTGGGGGTGACCCCACCCAGCGCTGGGTGCTCCAACCTTCCAGCAGAGCCCTCTGTGTCAGCACTCTGTCCATGTGCTCTGCTCGCCCTGTGCTGGCTCTCGGGTTCTCTGGAGCGAGCCTTCTGTCCATAGCGTGCGTGCGTGTGTGTGTGTGTGTGTGCGCACCCCCTGCACCCTTCTCCTGCAGACCAGGGCTGGGGCTCTCCAGCCAGGCTGGGGGCTCCCTGAAGCCAGGGGTGCCCCACCCACCCCAACCCCAGGGCCAGCGTCTCCTGGAAATGGCTCCCATGACATCAGCCTGCCTGGCCACATGACCGCAGGCTGCTCTCAGGGGCAGAGGTCACCTGAAACCCCTCCCCCGCTGCCTCTTCCCTGCTGGTCAGGCCTCGTCAGGACGCTGCTTCAGAGGCGTGACCAGCGTGGGCTCTGGCTCCCTCAGGCCACCATCTCCTCTGGTTCTTCCACACCCGAGGAAAGCCTGTCTGTTCCTCAGCTCAGGGAGCTCGTATCTCTCAGCCTTGACAACACCCTCACTTCACCCCCGAAACCTGTCCCGCCCGTGGTGCGCAGAAGGGCTAGGCCCAGAGGAAGAGGGATTTAACAGTGATAAGAAGCAGAACTGGCAGAAGACAGTCCGGAGACAACCTCCCTCCGAGGTGTTCAAGAGCGGGCAGGCGTCCGCCGGACCCCAGATGGTTCAGGTGCCTCGGGGAGGAGAATGGCCAGACACCATCCTGTTCCCGCTGCCCAGACCGGCTGGGAGCGCTGTGGACGTGCCTCCCCGCCCTGGAGCTCCCGTGAGCCACAGGAGAGCAAGGAGACGAGCACGGCCTCTCCGGGCGCCCGGCTGGTTCTCGCCTATTTCCGGGCACGTGTGCACAGCAGAAATGCAGGAACAACTGGCGCTGCTTCCGCCTGAGTCTCCTCTCCCTCACCTGCACACGGGCTCCTGCTCTGCCAGGAGCCTGCCGCCTTCCCGGGGATCTGTGTGTGGCCACCGCAAAACCTAAGGACGGGCAGAGGCTGGGAGGGTCCTGTGGGAACAGTGCTGGCCGGGGGTCAGGGCGGTGGGGCCAGTGTGGGCAAGGGCCAGAGCAGGATGCGGCCACCTGGCTGGAGGGCCAGAGTAAAAAACGGTCACCAGCAGTGACTACATTGGATGCCCGTCTGTGTGTGTGAGAGCACGTGAAGAGGGGTGTGTGTGCATTCCAGGGTTCCCCACGCTGGGTCTGCGCGTGAGTGAAGGGCATGTTAGAATCACCTGGGAGCCCTGAAATGCCCTGAGGCCCACCTGCCTCCCATCCTAACTAAGGCCGGCTCTCCGGGCTGGACCTAGGCACTTGCATCTGTTAAAATTCCCAGATGACTCCAGTGAGGAGGGGTGTACGAGGGTGTTTCCTCTTAAGAGATGATGAGCGCTGTGTCTCGGGGGGGAGGAGCCTTTTAACAAGACAGCTGCAGGTGGTTTAGGGGGGTGGTTTGCAAGGTCAGGGGTTATACAAGCTATTCCCAAAGAGCATTACCATCAGCAAGCACTTTGGAGATGATGTAATCCAACGTGTCACAGGTGCAGAAACCCAGAGAGAGGCAGTGACTTGCCCAAGATCACACACACTCAGCAACAGATCCAGACAGAGCTCAGCTCTCCTGACACCAAGCTGGACTCGGGCCACAGCATAAGCCGCCAGGTGGGGGTCTGAGGTGTGCCTACGTGTGTACGTGCACAGGTGACAGGTGTGGCTATGCGTGTGTGTGCGGTGTGCCTACAAAGCACGTCACCCGAGGACATCTAACGTTCTTCCACTTTGTTTGGTTCAGACATTACACACCTCCTGGGGGTCATGCCCCATCATAGAAGTGGTCCCCACGCTTTTAAACCTGGAACAATTGGCTTATTGATACTTACAGTTCTGGGTGTGGGGAGAGGAATTTGTGTTTTCTTAATTTTTATAAAAAAAAAAACCACCTTTGCCAATGAACTTAGCCAAGGAGCAGGATCTAGAAAAACAGCGTTTGCGATGGAAAAACCCTGGAATACCCAGCATTTTTGCATGGGTTGTAACAGGCCAACGGAAATTCTGCCTCAAACCTCAACCTCAAGCCAAGAAACGTTGTAAAGAACCAAGAATTGGTTCATTTGAAGTTTAATTAGTGCGTTTTGCGGCGGGAGCAAGCTCAGGCACAAATACCCTTTACCATCCCCCAGCTCAGGTTTGGTCCCCAAAACACAACCCCAGACATGATGCCTGTTCTCGGTCTGTGGTCCGAAAAGGACAACTTTCAAGCAGCCCCCCACTCAGGCACAGGTCCCTGCTGAGACAGTCGGACACAAGCACGGAAGCACTCAGCAGTCGCGGCCCCACACGCAGCCCCAGCACCTCTGCCCCCGAGGGGAGAAGGCACGGCCCCAGCCCACTGTCACTTCACCCCCCATCTCTGACCAGGTTGGAATCCAGGTTTGGCTGTTTTCAATGGGAAATGGCGCGTCTGAGAGGAAGAGAGAAGGAAAAGTCGGGCCCATGGGCGAAAGAGAAAGATACAGCATCTAAGAAGCTGGTGATAAGCCAGGCGAATGGGGCTGCCGGCGGCCAGCGTCGGGATTGCCCCAGGATGAGAAGGGACAGGGAAAAGCAGCTGCCCGTGAAACCCTGTGGGTGGTGTGCGTCTGGTGGGGCGGCGGGAGTGGGGGTGGGGTGTGGAGCAGATGAGATTTGGGTGAAGACTTAAGAAAGGGTTCCTGTGATGTCACACAGAGCCTGAGTGTGCGGAAGCAGCGCGTCTGCCCCTTACCCCCAGACCTGATGGGCACCAGCCCCTGCAGGGACTTCCCAGCCCTGGGCAGGAAGCTGTCGCTAGGCAGCCACACCCCTGCGTCCCACACAGTCTGAGGAGACACCTGTGCACATGGGGCTCTGGGAACACAGGACAGCAAATGCGGGGCCAGTTCAGGGAGAGGACCATGTGGGCAGGCAGGCTGACAGCAGCCTCTTTCTGCGGGGTCTCCAGGCCCCAGAGACCCTGCTGTTCCCCACCCCGGGGGCTGCCCGGCCAGGAGGGGGTGTTTCAGGGAGGGCCTGCCTGGGCAGGGAGGGCACTGGGCCACGGGCTTGTTCTTCAGCCCCTGTCACTCAGCTCCCTAAGCCCCGTGACGGACAAGGCAGAAGAGAACCTAGTCGGGAGGGCTCCGAGGGAGAGCCAGTTCATTGCCAGGCCCACAGCTGCCTGGTTCCTGACCATCCTTCATGGGGCCCAGCGGTGACAGCCACCATGCCCAGCCCCTGCGGGGCGAGGAAACTGGGGCGTGGCCCTTCCAAAGCCACCAAGTCCCCCTCCCGGGAACCAGAGTGGGTACATGGGATGTCAACCAACTCGAGAAACAGGGAGTGGGGGGAGTGGCAGCGGAGCCAGCCGGGAACAGTCGGGCGGCTCTGGTGAAGAGGAGGCGAAATCTGATGAAACCGAGCCAGACAAACCAGAAGCTCCGGCTTCTGCTGCCCTAACTGCCTCTCCCAGCGATGATGCCGCCGGGGGACTGGCCCCTGTGGGAACCTCACCAGGGCTGAGAGGAGGGGACACACCTACAGCCTTGGGACTTGGAGACCCCGTGTCTGCACAGGAATGCAGGAGCCACTGGCGGCCTCCCTCACACGGGGCCCTGCAGGCACTTGGCCGGTGTCCAGCTCGTTGGGAAGAAGAGGTGTGTGGGGCACCGGCTGGTCTGAGATTTTTCTGGAGCTGTGAGCCTGGAGCTCAGGCCGGAGACGGAGTGGGAGCGGAAAGGGTCAGGCGAGTCTCGTTCAGGGAAGGGACTACACTGGCTTTAGCTGGGACTGGGCTGTGGCCGCAAATGGGGCACTTTGTTGGCCGAAACCTGCACCCAAGAAAGGCTAGTAAGCAGCTACCGAGGCACCAAATAAAAGAGGAGAAAAGGCCCTGGAAGCTCATGACCTTGAGCGGAGGAACCAGGAGCCCAGACCAGGGCAAAGGGCACGTGGAGCGGAGCCGCAGAGCCTCTGGGGCTCGGGGGGGCCTCAGGCAGGCATTCCTCTCCCTCCGAGGCGCCATCGGGGGGACGGGAGAGGAGGAGGATGGAAGCCAGAGGTCGGGAGTGTGCGCGGGCCTGTGCGCGCCGTGTGTGGTGGGGGGTGGGCAGGGGTCTGTGCCCTCCCCCGCATAAACCCTGGTCGACTGGACTGGTTTGCAGCCTGCAGGGTCTTCGTTGGTTATTTTACTCAATTTAGCTAAATAAACACATACACAGAAGGTTCACTAATTTGTGTTATTCTTAACACCAATCCTTTGTATTAAAGCATTTGGTCTAAAAATTTTCCACAATCGTCCATCAGACACTGTGCCGCCTTCCTTGAGTTTAGGGGACTCTATCCTTTTCTCCCAGCACCGGCCCCAGTGGGGGCACCTTGTGCGGGGATGGCTGGCTGGTCAGGCTGAGCACACGCACTGGACAAGGGCCCCCACGAGGGCTCAGCCCGGGGCTAGTGGGGTTCCCAACTTGCCAGCCTCGGCCCCTGCTCCCCCAACACACTTGCTCCCCTGTCAGCGGAGTGCGGTAAGGACGATCCCGCGGGAACCAGCGGGTCCCCAGGGAGAGCACAGGCCCCCCACTAAGAGCTCCTTGTCCTGGGCGCCTGCTGAAGGCACAGGAACGGGTGCCTGGGAAGCGCCCGCGGGATGAGGGTGAGCCCTGGGGCCGCCGCCCCGAGAGGACAGGAGGTAGGGGCTGTTCCTGAGCAGAATCGGGAACACAAAGCCGATGGGGCCCAGGGCCCCGCCCGAGAACGGCGCGCGCTGGAGAGAGCGCCTGGCCGCCCGGGGAGGCGCTTCGGGGGGCGCTCGCCGGTGCGCCCAGGCTCCCGGGGCCGGCCAGCGGGTCTGGGCGGTGGCTCTGGGGTCACACCCCGCGCAGCCCCGGCCTCGGCTGGCCGGCGCTCCCTCGCTCCACTGCAGCCGGGATGTGCGCGCCCCGCGGCTGCCACGCACCCCAGGGGCGCGCACGGCCCCGCGCACGTGCGCCGGGACTTTACCTCGGTTGGAGTGGCTCAGGGTGGACGAATGGGAAGACTTGGGCTTCTGCCGCTTCACCGTCATCATCACCTGCTCCTGCACGCGCTGCCTCCCCGACGTGCCCGTCTTCATCTTCTGGTCGGACGGCAGAGCCAGCGTCGAGTTGTCCTGGTCCTGGAAGCATTCGTAGGCCAGGGCGGTCTTGAGCGGCGAGTGGTTCATGGTGGCGGAGGCGGTCAGGCCTGGACAGCGGAGGCGGCGAGTGGCAGCGGGCGGCGGAGGGCTCTTGTCGCTCAGCGGCTCCCTGTGGCCATAGAGCGAGTGTTGGCGAGGGTTCCGGGCTGCTCCTGGCGCCTCCGCCCTGGCTCTTCCCTTTCCTGGCACTGCCGAGGCCCGCCCTCCGTCAGACTGGATATACGGCCCCTGCCTGCACCACCCACTCCACCTGGTTGTGCCTCTGCTGGCGCAGCCCAGCCGGAGCTCCTGGGGGCAGGGCTGCGTCCAGACTGTGGGACTGCTGTCTCTGCTTTCTCTGGGTCCCGCCCCCCACCCCCTGCGCAGAAGGTGAGGCCGACACGCCCCTCTGTCCTGTTCCTCCTGCTCATGGAGAAAGTATGTGCTCAGCTCAGGAGCCCAGGGAGACGTCCCTCTAGGAAAGAGTCTTCCTGACTCGGCCCCCAGGACAGCCAGACGCCCATCTGCCTGTCCTGAGGTCATGGCCAGACCACCTGTAGGTGGGGGAAACACAGCCCGAAGGGAGTGCTCCTTCTTGTGGGGACAGTCCGTTCTGTGAGGCAGCTGCCAGCCTGCAGGGAGAGGCGTGGGAGCCAGAAGCCAGACCTGGACCAGCCTCGAGATGGAGAACCACAGAGCTGTAACCTGCCGGGCGGGGACGGTGGACCCTTCTGAGACTCCAGACTTCGCCCCTAAAACGGCTCCTGGCACATATTAGGGCTCGATGACAAATATTTTAGAATGGATGAATGAATGAAGTCTAATTTAAGATAAGAATCAAGTCTAACGTGAATCCTACCCAGATCCTTACCGAAAAACTCAGTCGGCCTCGCCCGTACCACGACCCCGCGATGGCCTGGATTCCAGGACTCGTGTGTGCGTTCTCCCCCACGCTCGCCCCTGGGGACACACGTGTGGTGCTGCATCACTCACATTGCATTGTCCCCAGGCGTGGCAGCAGCCCACACCAGAAGATTTGGTGTGACAGGAGCTGAGTTATTTTTTCAAATGGCGTCGATGGAGATCTTTGTAAAAGCATCAAACTGCCTCTTTAACAAAAGACCCTGAACGCGTTTCGAGAACTCCGTGAGGACCCTGGGCCCTCATTGTGGACATCATTCCCGAGCTGCGTAGTCATCTGCTCAGCTCCTGAGTGTCGGGGGCTCTGCTGGCTGCGTCATGCTGTCACAGCCATCACTTCTGCTGTCATTTGTAGTCACCGCTCCCTCTGAGTTTGCCCTTCTCATTTGCAGAGGAAAGGGCCGTCAGAGGATATGCTTGTTGGGCATTTCATGTCGAGGACGGATGGAGAAGCCTGAGTGACAGTGTCAGGGCCACATGAAGGTCACGCTCTCACTTCCCGAGGAGTGGGTGTCACACGCGGGGAGCCCCAGCTTTTTCCTGGTAGCCACGTGCCAGGCAGGCTATTGTAAAGCAGGGTATAGTTCCCAATAGAAATAGTTTTATAATTGAGGGTTGCGTCCCTAAGAGCAGAGTATCAAATAAACCAGAGATGTGAGCAACAATATGTCATGGCTAGAAAAGTCCAGCACCTGTCACCCTCTCTCATCACTTAGAATTTTAAGATGCTGCTTCCAGCCATAGACCGTGAGGGCTGACGGAGCCCCGGACACCTCCCAGACCAGCCTCTGCATCTTTCTGATGGGGAAGGGAGGCAGCGTGCCCGAGGTCACCGGCTAACCTGTGTCAAAGCCTCCATCCTAATCAGGCCTGGTGACTCCCGGGCCACGGTTCTTCCCTCCAACTCTCCAGCCTCCCTTTTAAAAGTGCTATAAAACGGGCATTAAAGTACCTCACGTGCGGGTCACACAAGGGCCCCACTGTGCTATAAAGGGCACATGACAGCACATAAAAATACAGTGCCATCGTGTCACACACCTGGCCCATCCCAAACCTAATATGCTAGCCACAAAGAATGTTCATTATATCTGTAAAGAACAATAGTTTTGCCTCCTCTAGGATGTAGGAAGCCCTGAAGGGAGTGATCAGAGCGGCCCCTGCTGCTGTGAGAGGCCACACTTACGCCCTGGACACTGACCCCGGGTCTCTTCAAAACTGATTCCCGGTATGAATCTCAGGGTTTCTAGATGCTTCTCTGTTGCTCCGATATTAACATGATTTTGATGTGTCAACTGCAATAGCCCACATTGACTGTTCCCGTGTGAACCAGGCATGGTGCTAGGTCCTTTATATATACATACATATATATATATATATATATATATATATATATATATATATATATATATATGACCAGCTCCTTAGAATCCTTACAATGATCCTGTGGGGTGGGGACTGGCGCCACCATCTTCCCTTTCCAGATGAGGAAAGCAGGCTAAGTGAGCTGGAAATGGGCAGAAACAGGGCCAAGTGCAGGCAGCCCGAGCCCAGGGCCTGGGCACGCACTGGCCGTGCCAGGCTGCTCCTTGCAAATTCCAAAGCCTTCCATGAATCAGCCTTTTAACAGCACCCATGTCCGTCACACAGCACGAGAGTCAGGCCCCCGGAGTTCCGGTTCCAGCTGTGTCGCTAACAAGCTTCATGATGCTAGCAAGTCCCTTCCTCTGTCCCCTGTGCCAAATCGGTGAGCGAGGAGCAGATTTGATGGCTCACCAAACCGACTCGAGCCCTGACGCTCTAATTTTGATGAGGACGAACGGGTCCTCATCTTTGCCACCTGCCCTATAGCGTTAAGTGGGACCCAGTGTCATCAACTCTTGAGGCTTCCAGTGCTCATGAAAGTGAGACACCCCGTGACCCCACGGCTCACTGGGAAGTGAAACCTGGGTTCTTTTACCCAACAAGGATGGGCCAGCATGTCCTGTGTGGCAGGCCCTGTCCTAGGCGCTGGGGACACACTGGGAAGAGAACGAAGTCCCTGTCCTTATTGGGTGCACCTCCTAGAGATGGGGGAGAGGGGACAGCTGCCCGGGGAGGAGGGCTGGCCCAGACCAAGGCTGAGAGGAGGGCTCTAGATGGAAGCTTCTCTTTGCTCAGTTTCCAGCCCCCTGGGGAGGGGACCACCTGTACCTGAACCCCAAACTGATGCAGACGCCCCCAGGGAGCTGAACGAGGTCACCTTCCGATATGACCTCAAAGCTGTTGCAAGCGCCTTTGGATTCCCTGGACAACAGCCATGGGGCCAGCGCCCTGCTGTCCAGCCGTTTCTCGCTGAGTTCCTTTGGTCAGCTAACAGGCTTCCCAAGGGCTGCCCAACTCAGGCACCTTAAAACCTTCCCTGAGGGGCCACACTGCCCCCTCCCCAGTCTCTAAAGGCGCCCCATGCTGTTTCCCTACCAGCCCTCAGCCGCTCTGCTGTTGCACACATGCTGTTCCGTCTGCGTGGGTCACTCAGTCAAGTGTTCACCTAGCGCCTGACCAGGCCGCACACCAGGTCAGCTCCTGGGGGTTGAACCAGGGAAAGAGACCGGGTCCTGCCCTCACAGGACCTCCATTCTAAGAGGGCAGGTGAAGAGCAAAGTTGTTTGGATGACTAAAAAGACTGAGAATTGTATTCGGGGCTGATGTCCCACACAGAAGGGCAGCGTTTGCCACAGTGGCCAGAGAGGGGCGCGTAGGCCGAGCCCAGAAGGGTGAGAGGCAGCTGCCGTGTTGGGGGCGGGGTGCGTACTCCAGCAGAGGGAACAGTAGGTGTCAAGGCCGTGAGCCTGGCATGTCCTCAGAACTACAGACCAGTGTGGCATCCATGTGAGGTGTGTGGGCACAAGACGGGCACAGAGGCAGGCAGGCCGCACCGTCCTGTACGGCTTCCTGTGGTGATGGGAGCGTCCTGCATCTGTGTAGCTATTTAAATCTGTGAAAATGAAATGACATGAAAAATGCAGTTCCTCTGGCACATTTCAAACACCCAAGAGCCGTATGTCGCCAGGGTCCCTCACTGGACAGCACAGGATCGTGCTGGACTTTGGAGACATCTGTCTGGGGTTTAATTTTAAGAGAGAGGAGAGGCCATTGAGAAGCCTCAGACAAGGGGGTAACAAGACTCTGCAGCCCCTTCCTCCTGCCTCTGTCAGCTTGTCTGCCCGATTTTTCCTTGCCGAGGAATTCCCTGGGCCCTTCGTAACTGGCGCCGGCCTGTCCCACGTCACCTGTATGACCTGGGGCAGCCTGAGCGAGGGGACGTGTGTGTTCACGCCTCGCTCCCCTCTGTCCACATCCCTGGCACACATACAGTGCTCGATCGATATTTATTTTTTGAGCTGAGTCCACTCTCTTGCTCCGTCAAGGCCACGTCCAGCCCTCAGCAGGTCGCTTGGATCACTTGGGCTCCGTGCGTCTGGTCAAGCCTGCGTCTTTCTAAAGGCCAGTTTCTCTGGTGATTGTTGACCTGTCTTCTGCTGGTAGGGACCCCCTCAGGCAGGCTTGAAACCCCCAGCCCATTTCCCCGAGAGGGTGGGAACCTGTCCGTCTCACTTCCTGAGGCAAACTGACATCAGGAAGTCAAATTAGCTCCCCCGCTGCCCTGTCCTGGTCGTCTCGGGGACCAATCAGGGAAGCCATCTTCCTGAGGACGGGAATGAAGGTGGCGCTGCCCCTGCGGTGACCTTCAGGATCCTGACCCTCGCCACCGCCCTCCAGGTACCAGGGTAGGAACAGCCCAGACTCTCGGGCTGACACCTGCTGTGACCTCCTGTCCTCAGGCGTGGGGTCTGTGCCTCGCGGCCGTGGGTGAGAGACGGGAAGTGGAGGGCACAGCAGACGCCACTCCCCAAGCCCCTGGCAGACACCCTGATTGGAAGGTCAGCGCCTGTGACCGTGGGTCTCCCCTCCGTGAGGGTAGGGATTAGAGGGGGGCTGTGTCCCTTCATGCCAGCCTGCTGTGCCCTGGCAGGAGACGAGGGAGGGCTGGCAGTGGGCCGAGAGAGAGCGAAGGGTGCCGGTTCTGCCTGGAGAGCAGGGGCAGGGCGGGCTGGGCCGGGCCAGCTGAGGGGCAAGGCCAGGGCCTGCCCCTCGGCCTCCAACACGCCACAACTCTCTCGAGCTGCCGTTCTGGTCCCTGGGTGGGGTGGGCGCGGCGGCGGCCAGGGAGGGAGGGGCGGTGATGAATAACACGGCAGCGACCCAGCCCCGTCCCAACTGGCTGCCGTCAGCACTCGGTGGGTCGGCTCTGCGCCACACCCCTCTGCCAACCCAAAATTCCAGTTCTGTGCTCCCGACACGCTGGCTTTCCATCTGCCCCTCCCCCTGGCCCGCAGGACTGGAGTTCCCGGCTGGGTCCCAGCCTCAGGGTTCTGGGGGGGCCCCTAGCTGCCGGCGGGGGCAATGCCATTTGGGCGCAGATTTCAGAGCCTCCCCAGGAGAATGAGAAATGGGCTTCGGAGTGAACAGGCGAGGTGTGCACGCCAGCGTTCCCACCGCTGGCTGTGTGACCGTGAACAAGCCACTTAACTTCTCTGAGCCTCAGTTTCCTCATTTGTAACATTAGGTTAGTAATGTGGTCTCACAAGTTTCTCGTGACCATAAGTATATTTGTACCATGTCCAGCGCGGAGCTTGGTGTGCTGCAGAGTTTAATCACCAGCAGAGATTCCTTCCCTCCCCTGCACCCCTCCTATCTAGTGTCCATCTTCTGGTCTCCCCACTTTACGCTGTTAGCCGGGGCCGAGCCCCCCACACGGGCCTCTCCTCCCGCCCAGGCCTGGCTCATGGTTGACCGTCGCTCTCTGTCATTACAGCTCTTGCAAACTTCAGACCCTCAGATGGAGAGGGGCCTCACAGGCCATCTGTCTAGCCCTTGATTTGTCAGAAGACGCACTGAGTGGTGGGAGGCAGGCAGGGTGACATGGCCTTGCGAGGGCCTGGGTGCCTGGCCGTGCCTCCCCCACCATGGGGGCACGGGTCCTCTCTCCCTTTGGGGAGAGTGAGGGTGGGGAGCTGAGGGAAGTGGGCAGGAGAGGAGTTTGAGGGGGGTCCTGGAGGTCCCCGCCGGCCGCTGCTGGGGGATCGCGAACATCTGGGGGTGGAGCACGGCCCAGGGAAAGGCCGTGGGAGCTGCAGAGCTGGCAGCAGCCTGCCTGGGGTGTGTGCCTACGGAGCTGAGCCTGCCCCTGTGCTCCCCCTCTCGGCCTCCCAGTCACCAGCCCAGCCCCTGCACAGCCTTGTGGTAATTTGATGAGTCACCCGCCCGCGCCCGCAGACAGGGCGGCCACACCCATAGCAGCTGGCACCCCGGATGGTGCTTCTGCTCTGAGCTGCTGGGCCAGACCATAGATGGGCACCGATGGGAAGCCAAGACGCTCCAGGGCCTCGCGGCGGGCTGAGAATCTGCTGAATGGCAGAGCCTCCCATCTGCATTGCCCCATCGCCACCGCCAGGGCCTCCTGGAGGCAGCCGGGCCCAGGGGCACCCGTCACAAGCATAGGCCTGGTGCCTCCCAGATCTGTGCTCAGTGGTCCTGGGCGTCAGCTGCTCCAGGGGGTCTCTAGTCTCCCACCGGCCGGGCCCAGGTGGGGCGCTATGGTGGGTCAGGCGTGGTGCCCTCCGCCTGGCAGGGCGCTGTTTTACCCCTGCCATCCAGATGCCAACACCGCCTGCCCTCCCAGCCCAACTCAAATGCCCCGTCCTCCCCACAGGCCCCCAGACGTTCAGTGCTGGGTGACTCCACCCTCCCCAGCTCTCTCTCGTGCCACTTAGCACACAAGGCGTCTCCCAGCACACTGAGGGCGCCTGGCACTGCCCTGAGGATGGCACTGCCTCAGGCCTGTCCTGTCCACTGACGTGCCACCTGCGTGTCCATTTCCTCATCCTGTGCCCTCGTGCCTGTTTCAGCTCCCCCTGTCCCCAAACTCTTTCCAGACCGTATCTTCATATCTGAGGCCTGGACTTCAGGTCCTGTTAGGTTGGGGCTGGACCTGGCCCCATTTTGACAAAAAGTCCTCAAAGAATTGGGGGTTTCATGACCCCGGGCCCTCCTGCCATCTCTGGTCTTAACGCTCCACTGGCTACTACAGGTCAAGGTCAGCGTCTCCCTGCAACCCCGAGCCAAGTGCTTCTCCCCAAACAGCACCGCGCACGCCACACACCACAAGACAGAGGGGCTGAAGGACACATCTTTGGGGGGGACACACTCTAGCAGGTTGAACGGTCGCCTCCCCCAAACTGCGTTTATGTCCCAACTCCCAGAACCTGTGAACGGGACCATATTTGGAAAAAGCATCCTTGCAGCTGTAAAAGATCTAGAGACAAGATCACCCTGGAGTGGGGCAGGCCCGAATCCAATGGCAAGTGTCCTTTCCCGAGAAGGGGAGGGGAGGACCTGAGACCCGAGACCCAGAGGAGAAGCCCCAGGAAGACGGAGGCAGAGATGGGCAGAGATGGACGCGACGCCAGCCTGAGCCCGGGAACACCAGAAGCTAGAGGGAGCCTGGGCCGGATTCTCCCAGAGCTTCCAGAAGGAACCAGCCGACTGTGAGAGAAAAATTTCTGTTGTTTAGACAGCAAGTTTGTGGTAATATGCGTGGTCGCCCGGGAAACAGAGACACGAACTCTGAAACTCTCCATCACCTGGCATGAGCTGTCAGCCTCTCTCAGCAAACCCACTCAGCACGTGGCTCGTGGGGTGTGGGACCCAGGACTGGCCCCCAAGGGTGCAGCAGAACGACACCGCCCCTCAGCAATGGCACCGGGCAAGGGCCCGCTGGTTCCTGCCCAGCCCTGGACAGCCAGCCTCGCCCCCTCTGCCCTTCCCTCCGTGTGTTTGGTTTCACCCATCCCGAGAAGAGCGTGATGCTTGATGGCCGTGGGAAAAGTGAGGCAGCCATGGTGATGTCACCCTCTACCGGGAGGAATTTATGCAGCCAGTCCCGCCTCCGCCAGGAAGTCAGGGGGGCCCCGCCTGTAATGACCACGGCCTGTCAGCCCCATTTTCATACCTCCTCAGTGAATGGATGTCTTTCGGCCGTCAGCACAACGCAGCCGCGATTAAACACAAAACAGAAGAGGGCTTTGTCTTTCTCTGGGGCCTCTCATTCTGGAAGCTTGGGCAGTGTTAGGAGCCATCCTCCCTTTATATATGGGTAAGCTGGCCAGGAGGACAGCCAGAACAGGGCTCTGGTCAAGGTACCGACCGGAGCGTCTGGCCGACTTGGCCCCGTAGGGCCTCCCAGCCCTCTCACTGGCCACGCCCAGCAGGCTTCTATGGGAGGCTTAGGTGTGTTTTCAGAAAAGTCCTCAGGATTTGCTGGACCTTCTCAGAGATGGTCAGTGTGGGGCTCAGCCAGCCTGCCCAGCCCAACGAGCCGTGGGAGGTGAGTAGGGGGGCTTAGGGAGAGGGTGCTGTGCTCGGGGGCTGCTCTGTGCCTCAGTCTCCCTGGTACAAGGCAGATTCCGGGCCTGGCGTGGCTGCCAACTGGCTGTGTGATTGGACACGTCATTTGCCCTCTCTGGGTTTCAGTTGCCTTTCTAGTGAAAGGAGGGGTTTGGCGTCGATGCCTGAAGTCAGGCCTTCTCCAATCTTGCTGTGCATCGACTCACCTGGGAACCTGGTGCAGCAGGTCTGGGGTGCGGCCCGGGACTCTGCATGGCTGACAAGCAACCCGCGCATCTGATGGTTCTGGTCCTCAGACCACACTCAGGCGGCATCTGGGGCAGGCCACCGCCCTCTCATTGTCACCGCCTTCCCCACAGGGCTGCTTGAGGCCTCAGGCAAGCACTCAGGTCTCAGCTACGGCTGTAACAATGGGGGTGATAGACGCCACCGCCCAGGCTGGTTCTGAGGATTGAATAAAATGTCACTGACAGCCGCAGCCGCTCAGACGACCCTGCACACAGAGTGCCACCCGTCACCATTCCTCCTCTCGGCCATTAACCCACTCAGAGGGCGGAACGGTCAGCGGGCAGCTGCTGCTTCTCCCCTCAGGGGCCGTTTCCTTTTCACCCCTGAGTGCAATCTGCCAGGCCGTGGTCCAGTGGCCTCTCAGTCAGTCCCCAGTGTCCCTTAAGGTCCCACCCAGGCTTCTCCACTTTCCTACCATCCTGGAGGCTCAACCAGCAGTCCCCTCTGCCAGGTCCCCTGAGAGCATGAGGGGCCCCACTTGGAGCAGCTAGGGAACCTGTGAGCTCCTGCCACCTGGAGTTTGGGGTTTGGGTAGGAGGGAGGCCAGTTGGCTCGGCTCACGAGGATCCTCACTTCATTTCCCTTGAGAAACTGCCTGCTGCCTGAAGGTGCTTGGGGTTTGGTGGGAGTGTCAGTCTCCATGGCGATGAGGTTTGTGGTGTAAGCAAACAGCCGGAGGAGGCACGGCACTGGCTGGATGCTGGGGGGACGCTCAGAGCTCCCACCCCACTCCCGGGACCTAGATGGCAGGGACCCCCCAGCAGTGGTCTTCCCTTCCCGCCCCCCCCCTTGTAGCGCAAGCTCCTCGCAGGGTGTGCAGCCCTCGGGGAGGCTGCCAGGTGTAGACCCCCTCCCAAACGTGCAGTGAAGTCTGCTTGTGTCTAAATAGAACAATTACCCTAATTGCTGTTTGTGCCAAGTATACTGTCATCATCAGTCTGACAACGAGAGAGGCATTATTCACCCCGACCGGCCACGGAACGGTAGCCTGGGGGCTCCTGGAGCCGGAGCCACTGGAGCGGGGTCTCAGAGGGACCCTGGTGCCCAACCCCGCCCTGTCTGAAACTACACCCATCACCAGGCTCCAGGCCTCTGGGGTCTCTGGCCACGAGGGGGTTCTCTCTTCGTGTCTAGGTGGGAAGGTTCAGGTTTGCGGATGTGCAATGTTTACACAGCACGCTTACCCCGGGCCCGGCCCTGTGGACCTCACAGGCCCTCGCTGATCCTGATGGTGGCAAACCAGCGACAGGGAACCAGGCGGACCTGCCCATGTGGGGACAGGAGGTGCAGCGTACTCACAAGCAACAACCTCTTTTGCAAGCATTCAGTCAGACTATTCCTGCCCATTTGTGGGGCTCCCCTCCAGTCACCCCATGGCATTGGAGGGCGGGGGTCTGTACCATGCACTCTGCCTTCTGTCTGCAGGTCCTTCCGCCACGTCTGAGGCGAAGCCCTGGGCTCTCGTGAGGGAGTGTGGCCATGTCTGCGCTGCCAGGGCTCTCCCCACCTCCGTTCTCACTGGCCCCTAAGATGCCCGGGTCCTGGTCTGGTCGTGACGAGCGCTCTGGCCCAGCCTGGGCACGCCACCCTGCGGCCCCCTGGCTGCTCTGCCCGCCCCGGCGATGCCTCCTGGGCAACCTGCCGGTCACACTCTCAGCCCCCTTGAGCTTCCTGGGGGCACAAGGGGCCATCTGGACGCCTCTGTGCCTCACCAAGGCCGTAGGGAGCTGGGGGCACAAGCGCAGCAGTCTGTCTGGACGCCTCCCTCGGTCATTGGCAGTCTCCTGCCGGGTGCTCCTGGATGTGGCCCCAGGAGGCCCACTGGGCTTTTCTGAGGGCCTTGCCCTGTTCTGGGTCTATATTCTTAGAAGCTGGAGCGAGACTCCTGCAGGAGTGCCCACCACCCTCTCTGGGTGTCCCCACCCGTTCATGCCCCCCTCCCAGGCCCCAGCAGGTATCTCTTCTTGTCCCCTTGTCTGTGTCACCCCTGGGCAATAAGCCCCCTGGGTAAGCCTAATCACAGAACTGAGGAAAAGGAAGAAAAAACATGGATTACATCGGGGAGATTTGAAAAGCAGTAGCCATGTTACAGAGAAAACTAGGTGAGGCTTAGGAATTGTACATTTTAAAGAGCACGCAGGCGCCGCTAAATATTCTATATACATTTAAAAAATGGTGATAAAATACACAGAGCAAAAAACGTACCATTTCAACCATTAAGTGTCCAGTTCAGTGGCCTTGCGTGCACCACACCCGTTGTTCAACCATCCCCGCCTTCCACCTCCAGCTCGTCCGTGGTCCCAAACAGAAACTCTGCCTACTAAAAATAACTCCCTATCACTCCCCCCCTCCCAGCCCCCCGACAACCACCCTTCTACCTCCTGTCTCCGTGAACCTGACTATGTGAGGTCACAGACGTGGGATCACACAGCACTTGTCCTTCTGCGACTGGCTTATTTCACTGAACACATTCCAGGTCCATCCACATGGCATGCGTGTCAGGACGTCCTTCCTTCTCAGGCCGCACAGATCCCGTCAGCATCCCGCTAGACCACACGTGTGTGCCCGTCGTCAGTGGGCACGGGGGCCGAGCCCGCCTTTTGGTTACTGGGAATAACACAGCTGTGAACGTGGGTGTGCAGGTATCTGTTTGCGTCCCTGCTCTCAGTTCTCTGGGGTTTGTACCCGGGCCTCTCTGGGCCGCTTCCCCCCTTTTTGCTTCTGGCTTTGTCTCCCAAGTCCCACCCTTGCCTCTTCTAAGTCCACTGCCACTCGTGAAGGCCACGTGAGAGCCGCGTGGTGGACGAGCCCAGGCTTTGGGGGGCACAGGGGGTTTTGTTTCTGTCGTGGAAGTTCACCAGCTGTGACCTTGGACAAACGCCCGTAATTCCCTGAACTTCAGTGTTCTCCTCTATAAAAGGCAACTAATGAAAACTCACTTGTAGAACAGTTTTGAGAGGATAAGGGGGCAGATAAGTGGAAGGGCCTGGCACACCGTGGGTGGCCTTTGTTGGGGCAACTTGGCGGGGAGCACTTTCCTCAGCAGGGGGGTTCAAGGGGTGCAATTCTGCAAACTGCACCAGGAGAAGATGGCACAAGCAAAACCCCTTTCCCAACTGAAATAACCCCGAGGCTTTTGCTCCTGTTAAATTAGCAGCAGGCAGGCTCTTGGCATTTCGCTAGCTATGTTTTCTCAGTAACCTCAATTTTCTTGTTGCAACTTGAACACCGTTTCTCTGGTTTTGTCCCCAATAAGCTCCCAGAACTGTTGTGGAGAACCCTCTGTCATTATTGTTAAAAGTCGTCCTCTGATCAGCCGCGTGGAGCTCAGACATCCGGCAGGTTCTGGGAACAGAGCAGATGAAACAGGGCCGTTGTCTCTGGGAGGCTGCGGGAAGGAGGGAGCGATGCACGTGTGGGAGGCAACGCCGGGAACCGTGCAGGACAAACGTGGCGCATCCCCTTGATATCAAAGCACACGGAGGGCGTGGACAAAGCCGGTCATGTTAGCATAAGCGGCATGAAAAAGAAAGAGCACAGGGCTAGGAAAATACCGGCGGGGCAGGGAGACGGGGCGGGAGGGCTGGAGCTGAAACAGGAGGCTGGTCCGTGGAAGGAAACCTCAGCTAAAAGCAGAAGCACCACCCTCACCCACGTTTTATGTTTTAGAGAGAGAGCACGTTAATGCAATACGAATTCACACTCTTAATCAAAGGAAGTGAGATGAAAAGAGATTGCAGGTGAGGAAGACAAATTGGGAACTAAATACAACCCCGTATCTAGGAAAAGATTGAGGAACAAGAACCCATAAGGTTAAACATAGAATGGGACAAAAGGCAGGAAACCACCGACATCAACGCAGAGAAAAAGGGACGGAGAAGAAAAGCAATTGGAGGGAAGAGATGGGTTTGAAGGACAAAAAAAAAAAAAATCGGCCGATCTAAGAATAATTAATATTCCTGAAGTGGAGAACCAAAGAAATGAAACAGAAAACAGAGATATTGTACAGAAAAATTTCCCTTAAATGAAGGACTGAATTTTATGATGGAAAGGGCACATAGCATACCAGGAGAGAGAGAGAACAAAAAAATACAGGATGGTCAGCACCAAGGCATATCCTGTTTAAATTACTGAACTTCAAAATATGAAAAGTTTCCAGGTTTTCGGGCTGAGAAAGACAAGTCATCACAAGAGGGAAAACACACGTTAGCCTCAGACTTCACCTTCAACGCCGGAACCCCATGAAGTGATGTCCACAAGACACAGAGGGAAAGAAAGCGGGAGGCACCCTCCGGCCTGAGAGCCTGGTCTTAAAAAATACTGACCGGGAAAGGCAGAAAACCACGAATGTTTCAATCAGAAGGAGACAGGAAGAGAGAACCCAGAAGACAGGGCAGGTGGTGAACAGTGTATCATTTAAATACAGAGTTGTGACACAGCAGAATATAAACCTTTAAAACTTCCAACAAACTGGATATTATGTAAGCAACAAAAGTCAGCACGTGGGCGAAGGGGACCGCAGGGAGCCCCCCATAGCCCCTTAGCCCCCAGTCAGCTGGTCTCGCTGTCGACAATGAAAGCATAATTAAAAACAAACAAAAAAAACGATGACTACAACCTTTGAAAAGGATTTTGAAACCTAATTTGTTTTCTTATCCTTAGAAGGATCTCCTAGGCACAAATATCTCTTGTGGTTAAGAAACATTTATCCAAGGTAGAATAATGCCTTCAGCTTTCTTTTTCTTTTTTATTATAAATACAAATAAACTTTACACTTCCGTATTTTAAAAGCAGGTAACGTCTGATCCTGTTCTTACACAACTGTTTCTGTTTGTCATCTACCTTCCGTTCTGTGTTCACGCTTAGAGATACATCAGGATTGATGTTCCCCAAATATTGATATTGGTTATTTCCCGGGGGTGAGGTCTGGCTTGCTGTATTGCCTTCTATTTATGGATTCTGTGCTGTTTGAATTTTTTATAATAAGCATGTACCATTTTGACCCCTC